TTTAAAAGGCAGACAGTAGATGCAACAAACACCAACCAAAAAGGAACTGATAAAAAAAGTTTGTAAGATAAAGACATTGCACCACATGTGACAAAACCTATAGCAGGATTTTCAGTTTAGTTGGTAAAGGAAGACGTTAAGGTAACAGACATATCTTCTTACAAGCTACTGAATCTTTATACTATGAATTCTACATAATGAGATCTCATGTAATCAACAGGAACTTAAGAAAATCTGTATAGATGTTAAAATCATGAAAGTAAAAAAGAAAAAAAAAAATGAGATGTCTTGATATGATAATCATAGGATATTGGAAAACCAAACAGGATGCAGTAAGTTTCTCACAGGAATGATTTTGGTTAGGAGTCATTAAAATCTAAGAAAGGCTACATATAAGTTAATGAAATTAGTTTAATTTGGGAAAATAAATAAATAAATAATCAAAGGCTTTTACACATACCTATACTTTAGACATATATGGACAAAAGGCCATAAAAATGCCAGGGCCTCCACTGTGAACTAAAAGATGACTTTTGTTTATACCCGATTAGTAAGTAAGGATATCTGAAAACTACAGCAAAAAAATGCAAAAAGCAAAAGCAGAATTTAAATCAACAGTGATCAGTTTTAGACAGGCAAAAATCAATGGAGACGACATAAAGACATGGATTAATTAAAATACATGTTAAAGGACTATCTAGAACTACTTATTGTGGAAAAAAAAAAAAAGTTAAAGGCCATATACCACTGTATACAAAGTATGGACCAGAAAAAGTGAATCAGAAATATCTATACACTTTTCTCCACAGTACAAATAATGTTCACAGTAAGGTAAAGTAAAAAAAAATCACCTTTCCTACAGTTCTACAGCATAGTTGCCAAGTAGTATACAGTTCAAGTCACAGATGCAAAAAAAATATGATTAAATTATATGGTTTTCAGTCAGGCTTAAAATGAGGAAAAAACACGATAGAAATAAAAGTCTTCACACCCTGAAATATTCATAATCTTCCACATAACAAATTTGCCTATTACTAAAGTAGATGTAGGGCATCAAATACAAGAGACAGCCAGGAGCTCTTGCACAATAAGTTACCAGACATTTTCTATGCAAGTTTTACTATTCCACATACTGTTTACAATTTCAAATCAAGTCTGATTTTAAAATCATACTGCATATCCTCTGGTCAGAATAGATACCAAGTTAAGCAGCAAATGGTAGCTATCAAATATTCTCCACTACTTTTCCATAGTTATACATCACTGTTTCTTATTGTTGACAAGAATAGGTTAAGACTTTCCGTCAGGAGCAATGATTTTGACTGTAAATTTTATTTTCCCAATACAAAACGTTTTTATCATGTATTAGTGATAAACATTAATTAAATTTAATTAATTAAATTACCCTAAATAATTACAACAGGCAAAAGTTCTTCATCAAGTACTGCCACTCTGCTTTTCTGGTAAAGCAGGTTATTGTCTCTCTAAAATTAATAAAAAGACAAAGCTTTAAAGCAGATTTTTCATGTCCATTTTGCAGGAAGTCTACCTACAGGATTCTCAGTGTGGATTTGGATGCATCAGTCTCACAACTACAGAGGTTCAGAGTCTCACAACTACAGAGGTTCAGATCCTTTTTAGCTCTCTCCAGATCTTAATCAATTTTGAGAAGGATTAATATCCCATGTTCTCTCTTCCTCACAGACAAGAGGCTTATGGTGAACCTTGAAGAAGATTAATGTTCTAACCACATTCCCTGTCCTCCCTCGGTTTCTTCTAAATTACCGCTCAACATGCTTCAAGCAGGCATCATGAAAAACTGCTTTAGTACAATACTGCAATACTCGTTTACACAGTTTTCACACCTTGGTACATCTAAAGTCATGATAGTCTATTTACTAATCTTCCACCATACATTATGTTTTTGTAATTCTCCTGACCTCCTAAAGAAGTACTCCATGCATTTTAACAGCCTAACACAGAGCCTATAACTTTGAGAGATTTAAAATCTTGGATAAAATTACCTGTGGATATAAAAGTGTATCAGATTTAAGAATATTACTACCTATTTAATCTTAAATAAATTTCTAAGTTTTTCACAGAAAATTCTACTATCATTGTAGCCTTTTAACAAGCAAGGAAGAACTGGAAGAAGTGGCGAAGAGAATAATCTTTTTCAAGATAAATCTGCAGGCCAAAAATAAAACCTCCATTCTACTAAAATCCATGTTTAAAGACTTTTACATACTAATTCCTCCCTCCATCCCATAATAATATGAATAGATGCCATCAAGTACGGAAAGATATATTTTCTTCTTGTAAATCCGCTCAGGATCACTCTCTATAGATAAACTTTTCAGTGTCTAGCTAAATATTATAGCTCCAGTTGGCCAACAAAAGCTGTACTCCACACAAAGACTTTTAAGAGTATTTCTGAAATATGGGCTTCCCTTACAGAAGACTTAAACAAGCCAGTAGAGATAAAAATAATTAATTTAAAAGCAGAAACACTGCAATAAACTTGCTTGGTCTGCATATTAATACATCATTCAGAATCAAGGGGGAAGAGAAGGTAGCACTAAATTCCTTTCAAGTCTAAGTAGGAGTATTTTTTCTTAAACTCCTGGAAAATAAAAAGCTTACTCCAGAGGAACTACATCTGTTCTATCTATCTATACTAACTTCTCCAGATTAAAATCAAAATTAAGAATCTTTAAGACCACAAAATCAGGGATAGGATGAAGAACGAAGATAAAATATCAACAACAAGAAATGCGAGACTGGATACCACCACCTTTCACTTCCACTACCCTAAGTAAAGAAGAAATAGGAAGACTGTAGTAATTATTACAGCCTTTCTTTCATATCAAATCAATGTTAAACATTTAACAGATACCAGTCTTGCTGACATTTTACTAAGATCCTCTTAACACCTCACAAAAAATTATTTTAAAGCACTTTCAGTTGCTAAAGCCAGAATCTTCACACTCCTAAAGAGCACAAACTAAAGCCTCCCACTACTAGCTGAACCCACATTGATATCCACTCTTCTCCATATGACAGTCAAATGATTCACAGATCCCTAATAACTCAAGGTCCTTTCTACTAATTCAGCCACAACTGTCAACAGGTGGAGGAGTGAGGAACAGTCTACTGGACTCAATCCTTAAATCAGACAGTATGTCAAGGTCAGATTATTTAGGCTGACTTTGCCCCTTTTGACAGGTCAGGAGGAAAAGGGGAAAACAAAAAAAACTCTGTACTATATGCAAGACTTAGCACTTTTCTCGGAATTCAGCTGCACAGTACTAAAAATGGTACTAGTGTATGAAAAACTGGACGTGAGCCGGCAGTGTGCGCTTGCAGCCCAGAAGGCCAACCATATCCTGGGCTGCATCAGAAGAAGCATGGCCAGCAGGTCAAGGGAGGTGATTCTCCTTCTCTACTCCTCGCTCGTGAGTCCCCACCTGGAGTACGGCGTCCAGTTCTGGAGCCCCCAACACAAGAGAGACCTGGACCTGGTTAGGTGATTCTGCCCATCTACTGCACTCTGGTGAGACCCCACGTCAAGTACTGCATCCAGCTCTGGAGTCCTCAGCACAGAGAAAGGCCACAAAAATTTTCAGAGGGATGGAACACCTCTCCTATGAAGAAAGGCTGAGAAAGCTGGGACTGTTCATCCTATAAAAGAGAAGGCTCTGGCCTGAAAGACCTTACTGCGGCCTTTCAATACTTGAAGGGGGCCTATAAGAAAATGGTGACAATTTTTTTAGTGGGGCCTGTAGTGACAGGACAAGGGTTAATGGTTTTAAACTCAAAGAGGGTAGATTAGGCTAGATTAAAAGAAGAAATTTTCTACAATGAGGGCGGTGAAAGACTGGAACAGGTTGCCCAGATTGGTGGTAGAAGCCCCATCCCTGGAAACATTCAAGGTCAGGCTGGACAGGGCTCTGAGTAACCTGATCTGGTTGAAGATGGCCCTGCTCACTGCAGGGGGGTTGGGCTAGATGACCTTTAAAGGTCCCTTCCAACGAAAACCATTCTATGATTCTATGAAAAAAACAGCTAATCTAAGTGCTAAATATTCTTTTGGACTGCATTAAAGTCATCACTGAAACCAAGAAACTTTACTACCAAGAAAACATGCTAAAAACATATATTACTATTCATTTTGTGCTAAGTGCTACATCTAACCATTCCCCAACTCCCAGCTGTTCAAAGTTTAAATAATCTTCAGACACATGAAAAATATTTAACACATTTAAATGTAAAATTTGAAAAGGAAAATTAGGGCAGTATTTCATAACATGAAGAAAAGCATTCAGTCCAGCTACTGAAAGCACCGTGTCACTATTGAACATGCAGCCATTGCATGCACACTTACTGACCATGTTGCAGGGAACTAGTACCTTATATCAAAATAATATAAAGTAATCAAATTGGAATTCTGACAAGTTTGCTTTCTATGCAAATAAAAGCCAGTATTCAATAATAAAAGACCTAAATTTTAGGAAAAGGAAGCTTAGTGTTTTTAATTCCTCATCAGTTGTTCAGATATATAAGATGAAACAGAATCTTGGCAAGGTGCTTTTAAAATTTATACTGCTAAATTTCTATTTGGGTTAACAACATTTCCAAAGTAACAAACTTTTCTGTTTGCAAGTTGAGGCAAACCGAAGACACAGAAAATAAGGAAGAGCATTAAGGCATGGGTCCAAAGCAATCAGATTGCTTTTATTTTGCAAATGCTGTAAACATACACAACCATAAAGCTGTATTACAATACGCTTTTGAAAGAAGCCTTGAAGATGCTAAAGAAGCAAGTGCATTTCAATACCCACCTTGAAATGTGAAGACAAAGGCTCTGAAGAATATAACACTAATATGTGATTCTTACTGTCTTTTGAACAAACTATTTCATAATTAACATCAAGCTTTCCCTTTGACATATAAAAAGGTTATTTTTCTTCAGTATGAAAGTACAGTAAGAATTTACTTACCACAGCAAGCTGCGTGCGTGATGCTACTGTATGAAACACTGCAGGCATCATGAGAGATTCTTCTACTTTCAATTCCATCTCATTCTCTGCTGAAAATGTGGTTTTGGGGATAGCTGGTGGACGTTCACACAAGATCATTTCTTTGTTGAATAAAAAAATTGGGTTGGTATCCTACACTCAAAGAGAAAACGAAACCAAACACTGAGTAAAGGCAACATACTGTTCAATCATCAATTATATTGGGGTAACGTGTCTTAAGAACACATTTAAATCTACAAGTGGAATACATAAACATCCGTTTCTCAAAGCAAAGAAATCCAACCAACAGTTCATTACAGAAAAATATTTTAAAATCCCATAGTAAAACATTTTTCTTCCCCTATAAATGACAGTTTAGATGAAGAATGCAGTATGCACTTACTGTTCCAGCACTGTAACTACACACTCTCCTGTCCGGTGCCATACACTCTCCTCCATTGACAACCAGTACTTGGTGCTGAATGGCAATCTTGTACTTTGTTTGAATTGCATGTTTCAGATCAGCCACACTAGAAAAAAATTGGAACAAAAGACAACACTATCACCATATAATATGTCTCTAATTTTACATATTCCTGTTACAGAGACAAATGACTTGTCTGTGTCAAAGCAGAACTTTTTTTAAAGGACTACTACTTTTTATTCTGCACAGTGACATATTTCCAAGTTTTGTAAGTGCTGTGATGTGTTGCACTCCGGACATCCAGCTAGTAAGCTATCAGCTAAAATAAGACAGCGTCTGCATTACTGGTAAGTTATCATCGATCTTTTTCCAAGGAGATCTGACACCATGCCGAAATTCTCAATTAAGTCACATCCAGCATTTAGGATAATAACTGTAAATGTCATATTATGTTCTTTGAATATATAGTTTATGAACAGCTGACATACTGAAACCCTAGAAGACAAGAGAATTAACACTTCATTATGCATAATATAAGCACAATTTCACCTACTCAACTCTGAGTGATTTACTGCACGTGAAGTGCAGTATAGCACTTAACAATAAGAGGAAATTAAACAATCCATATACACATGTGCAACAAATTCATATAAACATTGCAGACACTTTTAACGTGGAAACAGAAGATCAATAAACCATGCTTGTATCTTTAATTCTTGGTGATGACAGTTTAACGTTACTGCTTATTTTAGACAGTTCTAGACTTTGTCTTGAAGACACAGGCAAGCAGCAAACTAAACAAGAATGTACGAATACAATATAGTAGCTGACCCAAACTACAATATCCTAGGGTAGTACCTGTGCAAAGGTATTACAAAGCTTCAGAGTACCAAGTGAATAATCAATAGAAGCATCAATGGTTCTGATAAAACTGGCAGGAAGCATAACAGTGTTACTGGCTATAGGGTACTTGAAAAATAAAGATCTAAATATCTAAAATAACCATGATTCAATATGACATCATGAATTCACTACAAACATCTCATGAGAACAAGCTTGTACTCGCCAGCTGCATTACAGCAAGCATTCACCTATCACCTCCATGGGCTTTGGGAAGACAGGTTGGCCTGTCCATGTACAAGGAGATAGGCAAAGGACCCAGGAAAGCTAGTCTTGCTCTAACATAGAGAATAACTGTTCAACTGAAGAGTCTTGGATTTTGTGTGATTCAGACACTGGAAAGCTTCTTTCTCAAAGAACTATCCAACTGAGTAAAAAGTTGTCCCACACCAAACTATTAGGTGCCTGATCTGGCAGTTCAGAGGCTGTACCTCACAAATCATGATTTAGGAACAAAACATCTCAATATACCAGACAGCATACAGGGGTGCTGACACACCTGCAAATGACCCAGCAGATCCAGAATGGTTGAGATGAAACACTATCTCATACTCAATAATACTCTGAGTGTCAGTGGGCTTTGCAGAAACGCACACAAAAACAATCAGCATAGACAGTCTTAGGGCCCTTCCACCCCAAACAAGTTTCAAAATCCAGATTAACTTGGCGAGTCATGAAAATTACAAACAGTAATTCAGGAGAAAGGAAACAATGGATTTGATCACAAAATCCATGGTAGAAGTCTTTCAAGCACACAGAAGCAGCTCTTTCATCGGTGATAGAATATGAAGACAGTAGGTAAGTTTGGTTCTTGCTAGTTCCAAGGTGTATGGGTTACTATGATAATATACATTATTTACTTATTAGATCAGAGTCCCACAGGAGAACAAGGAAAAAGTATACATAGTATAGATGCTCGTTTGTTTGGAAAGGAAAACACTTGTTTTGGGAAGGAAAAAAACTGCACAATTGCAGCCAGAGAGAGATGGGAGAATATGTGAAAAACAACTGTGCAGACACCAAGGTCAGAGAAGGAGGGGGAGGAGGTGCTCTGTGCACCAGAGCAGAGATTCTCCTGCAGTCTGTGGTAAAGACCATGGTGAAGCAGGTTGTGTCCCTGCAGCCCATGAAGGACCACAGTGGAGGAGATATCCACCTGCAGCCCATGGAGGACCCCACACCAGAGCAGGTGGATGCCCAAAGGAGGCTGTTACACTGTGGGAAGGCCACACTGGAGCCAGCTCCTTGCAGGACTTGTGGCCTCATGGAAAGAAAGAAACCCACAATGGAGAAGTTTTTCTGGCAGGACTTGTGACCTCATGGAAAAGACCCATACTGGAGCAGTTGGCAGAATGGTAGGGGTTGGAAGGGACCTCTGAAGACTATCTAGTCTAATCACCCTGCTAGAGCAGGATCACCTAGAGTAGAACACACAGGAACACGTCCAGGTGGGTTTTTAATGTCTCCAGAGACAGAGACTCCACAACCTCTCTAGGCAGCCTGTTCCAGTGCTCTGTCACCCAAATAGTATTTCCTCATGTTTAAGTTGAGCCTCCTGTTTTCCAGTTTGTGACCATTGCCCCTTGTCCTGTCACTGGACACCACCAAGAAGAGTCTGGCACCATCTTCCTGACACCCATTCTTTAGATATGGGATATCCCCTCAGCCTCTTCTTCTCCAAGCTAAACAGACCCAGCTCTCTTAGCCTTTCCTTATACAGTAGATGCCTCAGTTCTCACATCATCTTAGCAGCCCTGTGCTGGACTCTCTCCAGTAGTTCCTTGTCCTTCTTGAACTGGGGAACCCAGAACTGGACACAGTAAGTTTGTGAAGAACTGCAGCCCATGGAAAGGACTCACATTGGAAAAGTTTGTGCAGAACTGTCTCCCATGGGAGGGACTCCACACTGGAGAAAGGGAATAGTGTGAGGAGTTCTCTCCCTGAGGAGGAAGGAGTGGCAGAGACAATGTGTGATGAACTGACCACAACTCCCATTGCCCATCCCCCTGTGTGGCTCTGGGGAAGGAGGTAGAGAAATTGGGAGTAAAGTTGAGCCCCAGAAGAATGGAGGGGTGGGGGGAAGGTGTTTTAAGATTTTATGTCTCATTATCTTACTCTGATTTGATTAAATTAATAATTTAATAATAAATAAATTAAATTATTTTTCCCCAAGTGAAGTCTGTTTTGTAATTGGTGAGTGATCTCTCGCTGTCCTTATCTTGACCCATGAGCCTTTCGTTCTATCTTCTCCTCCCTGTCCAGCTGACAAGGGGAGTGATAGAGCTGCTTTGGTGAGCACCTGGCATTCAGTCAGGGTCAATTCACCGCATTTTAATTTAAAAAGTAAACAGTACACAACTAATTTACTTTCTTACTTTTGTACAGCAAGTTCCGTATCAAAGGTAAGCGTAGTTCCAGTGTTGACCAGAAATACATATAGCTTCATGATGATTTCTTTAGGTCTCTGCAGTTTATAACTTCCACTGCTAAAATCATTTAGAAACTGGAAAAAAATAAAAATGAAGTGTTAGTTCAGTGAATGTATCAGCTCTCAAATTGCACAGTTCTTTATCTAAAGATACAGATGCTCCTCTGACCAGAAACATGGGCAAGGTAAGCCTCTGCATATGCGGATAGTTAGGAGAACACATGAAAATATACACTGAGGAGAATTAAAAAAACAAAAAAAAAAAGAAAAGACTACTTTCAGTTGCAGAGGCCACCATCTCAGATCATTACCTGGCTTTTACAAACAGCAGCATGAACTATGCTGTAAGTATTCATTCCTCAACCCTATCCATAGTTTTTTCACTCAACCATATGGAAGCATTAGCAAAAAATAATAATAAAAAAATTATTTTGCTAAGATTATGTAGATTTTCTTTTTGTATCTCTCCATAATTAAGTAACAGTTTTAAAAACCACTGTCCTCTGTTTTCAGCACTAGCTAAATCTGTAGCTACTTTCTCCATCACTAATAACAAATATGGAGAGATCAAGATCGTGCAGTCCCACACACTGGACACATTTTCAGTTCTGTGCACTACAAGAATCTGGATGAGTGATTTATAAGCACATGTTTTTTCCAGTGTACATAACAGAAGAAAAACATTGAACTGCTTTGTAAAACATTAAGATTTAATCTGAGATTTTATCACTGAAATATTCTATACTTCCAAGCCTTTTTCTCTTCTTCTCCACGGGAGCTCAGAAGTTTATGAATAATTACCTCCACACTAATAAAGCTGCTGCAGAAGTACAACAACTAGCCCTGTGGTCACTAATGACCTGAAATTTTGATGTGGACGGAGTTATGAAAAGTTAAGCTGTAAAAGTTTTAGTCGCTCAGCAATATTCTTATATCATTATAAGAATGACTCTCTGGATTAAATTACTTCCCAGTAAGTAGAAGATGTCCCTCTTTCCCCGAAATATGAACAGGACACACATGCAAGGTCTACACAGCTAACTGTATTATTCTAAGATGAGTATGAATTTGCATTTATCTCTTTGCCTAGAGAGAAAAATTGACAAACCACAGAGAAAAATAGCAAAAACATCATTAAAATGAGGAAGGGGAGAGCTTTTACCAGGATAGTAAGTCCAGAAGGTCAAAAGAGCCTTCTTTCAAGAGTGGCTTTCCACGCATTTTTCAAGTATTATAGTACATATATTAGTCAAAACTTTCATTTTCACAACAAGGTTTCAGAAGCAGAACTGCATCAAATAAAAAAGGTCCAGCTAAATAATTTGATCTGAATTGAGTTTTACTGTCCTTAAACTCAAACGCTACTATACTCAGTGGAACCAGTTTCAATTTACTTTGGAAAAAGAAGAATATACTCTATAAACAGTTACTGGACAGACAAAAACTGGTGAACACCAAGAACAAGCTAGCAATAATTTATTACTAAATTATTTGGCCTAGGTTTCAGAATTAATCAGTCTCACCTGTAGAAAGACTTTTTTTCACATAGAGTATATTTGTGACTGTGGTCCAGGTAGAATTATAAACAAACATGTTAAATAATACAATGCTTAAAGCAGGCACCATGGAACACCCACCAAAAAAAAAAGGGAAAAAAAAAAAGCACTCTTTTCATAAGCAGAGTAAAAGGCTTATAGAGTATCTAGTTTTCATATAAACATTGCTTTCTAAGCTCAAGTGATAGTTAAGAGAGAATCTGTCCAGAAACCTTATGTATATATAAAGTGAAATGTTAATCAAACAATTCCCTCTCCATACCTTAATACTAAAGCTAACTATTTAAAACACAGAAAGAAAAAATATTATCAAGATCAAAAATATTTATGACAGCATCAGCAGTCTCAAACTTTTTAACTTCAAATAAGAATTACCTTCAGGCACTATACAAAGCTACCACCTTCTTCAAATTCAAGAGAATAAATGTGCACATTCACTTTACTTGATTTTTGGCAACAGAGTAGCATGGCTGTTCAAAGCCAGAGAAGATCTGCAAAGAAAAAATACAGAATGCAATTACAGGTATTATTAAAATCACAGAATCATTAGGGATTGGAAGGGACCTCGAAAGATCATCTAGTCCAACCCCCCTGCCAGAGCAGGAAAAAAAAAAAATCATTAGTGATATCCTTCAGTATTTACAAGGATGCAAAGTTAGTTCACTGAAAAGTATTTTTCAGAACTGCTGCACAACACTGATATGATGATGCTGAGCAATACAGAAAGTCACAACAAAATGCAATTTATCTAAGAAAATCCAGTGTAATAAGCACGCATGCTACTGCTGTTGAATGAACAGACTTATCCTGCAGCTGTATCCAACAGATTCCTTCAGGAATCAGCATCACCTTGCTTATCAGAAACAAGGTAACCTCGTTTGTTAAGCCATTCACCTACTTCCAAAACATGTTAGATTTTTTTTATTTTTATTTTATTTTTATTTTTTTTTTTAAATAAACTGAAGATGTTACCATTCCCAGCTGCTTGTCACTGGCTTTGTTGCCAGGGGCTTCCTCTCACAGAACTACTGTTTAAACTGCAATTGAAACTACGACAACCAAAGTGAGATGGATTAACAAAGGTGGTCTTTTTAGGCTACCCTAGTTCATTTTAACTGTTTTCAGTTAAGTAGCAGTGCCAAAGGAGAAGGAGCCCTTGGCAAGGAAGGCAGTGATGAGCATTTGGGCTCAGGGCAGTCAGGCAAGTGCACAATCAAACTCAGAACTGCAAACAAACATTATTTCTATCACGTTAATGCCCTAGCAAGCTTTCTGAGAAGATGATCAGGCACTATAAAGGGTGATAATCCTTTACTAAAAATAGGTTTGCTGAAGCCTGAAAACCATTAGAACGTGTAAATCATTTTATAGATTTCATGCTACTAACAGTCAATCAAAAACACTTCATCCCAAATTTGAACACCTTATGATAAAGAAAAAAATTACACAACTATTACATGTATTTTACACACACAGAACAGACAGCATTTTGTTAGGCTGGTATGTGAGGTACTATCTTCCTCCCTCCTGTCCACTCCCTCTTTCATCCTATGCAAAATGCACACACACCACCTTGTCGGAAGCAAAGGTACAATAAAAAGCAAAAAAGCAATGTGTTTGGGTACCACCATTGGAAAATCAGTAACTGAAGTGTCCTTTTCCAGTTTAGCTATCAGCAGTCAGTAGTTGTACATGAGCAAAATATATTTATGAATACTTGCTTTAGATCAAAGTAATGCACCTTAACACGAATAACAAGAAACTAGTGAAACACTTCTGCCACAAAGTATGATCACAACACTATAATCTCTGTTCTTCCAATTCCCTTGCAACCATTAAGAAGTCAAAACACAAGTGTTGTTTCTTCCATCCAACATTTGAACAAACAACCCCAGGGGAACAGAACTACACTCACACAGGCAGGACAAATTTGTACCATCTCACTGTTAGGTTACTATTTAAAGGGGGCAGGGGGGAAGTAGAATTCATCCACTCCCAAGTTTACCACGAATTTCACTTGGTACTTTGAGGAACAGAGGAGTCGTGTGAAGCAAGGCTTCAGAGAACACACGCCTCACACCAACCTCTCTTGCAGATTCACTGGTGCCCAATAAAGGCTGGCTGCAGCCCTCCCTTCAGCAGCAACTATGTCAAGTGCCTCTTTCCAGCTGCCTGTTTTCACAACACTGGAAGAAACTGAATTTTGAGAGCTCTCCCTAGTCTTGAACCTCTGGACAACATCTGGTCAGCAAAGTTCAAGATTAGTTAAAGGGGGAGATGCATGAAAACCAGCCACAGTTGCCCTAGAGGTCAGGTTACAGCAGACTATTACAGGGAAGGTCAGCTACATATCACAAATCAGCCTTCAAGTTTGTTCCCAGTATTCAAGAATATTATGATTCTTTTTTTTTAGCAGGAACAAGTCTTTAAGGTAAGCTTGGTATGAAAGTCAGGTACCATCAAGCTTCAACAAAATATGTCCATAAACACATAAATTTTATTTTCCTTCTGTTTGTGTTACCTCAATAGGCCCTTAGGAGAATTTCAGGCTTTTTTAGCATTATAGTGTTACAAGTTTCAGGCTTTTTAGTGTTACATTGCTGAAATTACTTTAATTTCAATAAAGGTTGAACAATTACAGGATTTGACAACTACTGAAGACAGAGATGATAACTATATAATCAAACTGTAACAAAATTACTAATCCACACAGATTATTTATTTGAATTGTGTGACCTGCAGCATTAGATGCATACTATCATATAAACTTGATCCTTCAAATTATGAAATGATCAACAGCCACTAATTATCAGCAACACTATTAAAAAAATAGCTGAAAATTCAAAAAAGAAATTTCTGTAGCAGCTGCCAGAGCAGACAGAAGATGGCAGACATGAATATAAGAAAAAGAATGAGATGACAAAAATTAAAGAATAGCACAAAGTAGAAAAAGCTTCCAGAATTAATTCAGATGTGTATTTTGTTCCAAAATATATAGCTAACAAAACACCAAAACCAGCCATGAATACATTACGCTGCTTATATCTATTTCACTGCTCTACGTTGTGTTTACATTGCAATGCAACTACTACACCTGCTTCACCTCATGAAAGTATTGCTAGCTTTTCCTATACAATATAAACTCTTCAGCAACCGAGACTTTTGAAGTCTGTATTGATCAATACTCTCAATGCATGTAGTATAGAAGTTTTGAAATGTATCTTATTTAGTTCAGAACATGCTCTTCATTATATCTGTAAAAGGAAACGAATGTCTGCTTGCAGACTTTTCCTTTTTGTAATTACAGTACAGGCATCATGGATTTCACAGCACTCCACAAATAATCCTATGGCTACATTAACCATCCATTTCTGCCATTAAGTGCAGAACCCCTGCTCCATTATCCAATTCTGACTGTTCCATTGTTTCATGGTACAATTCTTTCCGACTTTACAAACTCAAACACTGAAATATGGCATTCAGAGCAGGAAAAATACAGAAATCAACATTTATG